ACTATCAATCCATAGAGTCCGAGGACCTGGGCAAAAATTAAAATAAGTACCATTCCGACGAACATTCTTGGCTGTTTTGAAGTTGCCCGCACACCAGCGTCACCAACCTTTCCAATCGCATAGCCAGCAGCTAGTCCACTAAGCCCTACGCTTAGGCCAGCACCGAGATCATTTATTGACCTGCAGGTAATATTAAAGAGAACAAAAGCTTACATAAATAATGTGTAAAAGTCGTCAATCCTTTGAGCAATTAATACGGAAACGACAAGACCATATATCGCAATTATCCCTGCCATTACAACAGGTATTATAGTCTTCATGACAAGATCAGGACGGGATACCGCAATGCATGAAATGCTCATGCCCGAAAGAGCAGTGCCATACCCAGCTCCAAGTGCTAGAGAAATCAACTTTAATTGAAGGGTCAACTTACCACAAAATATTATTGCTGAGCTACATCCAATTAATCCCAAGAATGGTGCCCAAACAGGAGTAGAGTCCATAATTGAAAATTCAGAATTCCCACATTCAATATCCAATATCTTTTTCGCAACCTGATATTAACCAATTAAAGGTTTTGAGGTTTTTCGTTCGATACGGTTCCATGTATTTGGTAACAGCTTCCATATCTTTTTCACGAGCTAGTAAAGACCAGTTGGTTTCGGTACGACTTCAGGTATTTGTCAATGTCCAAATGATGGTGATCTAGCCACTGGACTGTACTAATTCTGGTCACTTGGCAGTTTTTGATGAATTTAAGTGCGTCATTTGTCTTGATGTAGTATAGTTTTTAGATACCAGCAGCTATCACGTTACCAGGCCGCATATCTGCAAGTGGCTATTCGGAAAATAACAAGAAATTTCCACTGCCAATAAGGGGGAAATTCCAGAATGGAAAAAACAGATGATATATAAGCCAAATAAATGGTAGTGAAGATTGTGCGATGAGGAAGAAGTGTAAACAATGAAGAAGAAACACATATAATAAGCGAGGTAGAATACTTTGGTGATAATAAATATGAGCCCGGACCTGGATGTCAGCTCTAGGGTCATTGTGGTGATTTTTTCTCAAAGTTCTCGTGTTTGAATGGTTCGGCTTACTTAATAAGTCGTATGCCTTTATCAGATAACCTCCGATTCGCTGATAGTTCAGCTGTGTCACAAGCACTCTCGAAGTCGAGGAATATTATGTTGTCCAAGCTGGTCAGTAAGCTTTCCCATTCTGTAAGAAGATTGAATGCACAGTACCTGTCTTTCTCAACCTGTCTTGAGCTTCATGGAGAACTTTGTTCTTAACCATGTACTTCCTCATTTGCTCATTTACCAGTCTTTCCATTATCTTCGATAGTGATGATAGTAATGCTACTGGAATGTGACAGGCTGGATCCTTCCTATCGCCTACATTAACTCCAATGAACACCCGAACAAGTCACGTACAGGCGAATCGAGGGTTCTGCACACTGTTTCTACAGTCTATGTCGAATATCGCCACATCCTGGTGACTTTCCGAGGCACTGGGATTTTAGTTTTCATAGCCTTAAGTCAGAAGTAAGTCGGATATTCCTTAGGTCATCATCTGGAACCGGGTTGGATTAGCAACCTGAATCTATAGATACCTTCTCTAACTGACCAACGAAGTTGGCGTCAATGATGTAAGCCGTTTCTCGGTTTATGATATATTCACCAGTTTCACCCTTGTTCGTAGTCATGAACCTAAACAGGTATTTAGGATATGACTGCGTTTTGGATACTATCTTCGTCTGGGAGTGTCTCCTAACGCTTTGCATCATGACATGACATCTATTTCAATACAAAGTAAGAACTGTGGTCGGAACCCTTCAGAGAGACCTTCCAATATTGACTGGCACTTTTCGCCTATAGCAAGCTTTAAGTGCTTCGTTTAAACCTTGTTCTCCTCTTTCCAAGCGAATGATTTGCCACAGTATTTTATTTATAACCATGTTGAACATAATAGCATCATGGTCTTACATACTTACTTACTTACTTACAGGCGCATGTTACCTTTAAAGTAGCACAGGCCGCCGAGTAGCAATCTCCAATCTACCCTGTCTAGGGCGTTCCTTTTCAGTTCTATGCAAGTTTTGTTCATTCTTCTCATGTCTGTCACCATTTTCGGGCGTAATGTGTTCATCGGTCATCCTATTCTCTCTTCACTCTGGCAATTCCAAATGTGGTCTTGTTTTGTGACGCAGCTGGGTGCTTACCGCAGTGTGTGTATACCATCCGTCTCCAGTGCCTTTCTGTAATTTCTTCCTGTGCTGGAGTCTGGTTTGTTCTCTTTCACAGTAGGTTTGTGATTAGGGTATCTGGCCAGTGTATTAGAAGTATTTGGCATAGACAACTGTTGACAAACACTTGTTTTTTGCGGATGACGGCCCTCCAAGTTTCTCCAAGGTTCCGCTCCATACAGTAGAGCTGTCTTGATGTTTGTATTGAAAATTCGGACTTTGATGTTTTCCGAGCCATAACTATCATTCGGAATATTAATTTTGACTTTTGGGGTTTGACGTTGACTATCATCTCACACACGCCGTATTGTCGGAACAGTCTACGCAATGTTGTACTGTCCATGCTGTCAAATGCTGAAGTTGATTTAAGGTGGTGAATTTCATTCAACTGATTGTTCCACAATGATCGGTATTCTTGCGATCTGGTCGATAGACGATCAATTTAGCCTGTTAATCTAGACGTTGGGCGTCCACTGACTGTAAGATAACTCTGTTGAAGATTTTTCCTAATACTGAGACTAGTACTTCCTCTTTAGCTTGAAAACTTACTGAGACCTCCTTTCTTTGGTATATTCATCAGGTGCCTTTCTTTCTCAGTCTGTCTTTACTTGTTCCTCATCCCTAATCTTGGGGAAGAGAAGGTGGAGTACCTTCCCAGTTGCTGCTAGGTCTGCTCTCGGTACATCTGCTGGAATGTTGTCTAGTCTTGCTTCTTTGACGCTGTTGATTAGTCTGATGATCATGTTGACTTGTTCTCTTGTTGGTAGGTGAATATCTGTTTGGAAGTCTATAGGCGCTGCTTCGAAGTTGGGTTGGTTTTGTGAAGCTGGCCGATTCAAATGTTATCCAAATCGCTCTACCCGTTTGTTTCGCCGCTCTTCAATAATGGTGGTTGGTTCGTCAAACTTCTTCTTGAATGTAGTTCTAGTTTTTCACGCTTTCCAGTGAGCCTCGCTGTTTTGTCTTTTAACTGTGTCACGTTTCCTTGTTTCTTCGTCATTGTTGCTGCGACTAATGCATATTTCCACTGATCGTTTCTAGTACTCCACTTCACTAGCTTCATTGCTTCTGTATATTCAGCTTGCGCCTTTGCTTTCTCTGCTCTTGTTTGACTGATGTTGATTGCTGCCTTACCTTTACTTCTTTCTTCGATCTTTTCAAGATTAACAACAGATATTCATTTATTGTGATGGTGCTTCTTGTGGCTCATAACCTCATGACATGTTGAAATAATTGCCTCCTTTATCCCTTTCCAGTTGTTCGTTTTGTCGTTTCCTCTGCATTCAGTAGATCGCGGGACGCCTGAAACCTATTGCTGAGGGCTATCTTAATTCCGTGGGGCTTTCCAGTATCCCGAAGAAAGGCCGAATCAAACTTTTGTGATGTTGTTCTCCCCGTTGTCCAGTGCATCCCGAGTTTCACTTAAACTTTGGCGAACAGCATGTGATGATCCGAGGCTACATCAGCTCCTCTCTTGGTTCTTCTGAACGTTTTGTTGATACAAATATGGTCGAGTTAGTTCTGAGTAGTTTGATCCGGTGAATTACATGTAGCTTTGTGTGTGCGATTGTGTGGAAATATTGTGCCGCCGATGATCAGTTTGTTGGTTTGGCGTGCCTAATATGTTGTACGCCAATATCAGATCTCAGATTCTCCTGTAACTCAGGAGGATCTCTCACATACGCGTATAATCTGTCCCAGTGTAACAAAGATAGGGCTCGTTTACGCCTTTTGTGAGTGTTCCATTTATGACCATGCTAAACAAGACTGTGCCATGGTCACTACTTCTTAATGGTGCGCGGACGTGAACATCCCTAACCAGGAGCTGGTTATTAGTTAACAAATAATCCATGTTTGAGGACTACCCTTCCTTAGTCCACCTAGTGGCACTACATACGTGCTCAGTCAGCCCAGAGCTTCTAATGGCTGTACCAAGTTGTCTTTGGAACCAACTAGTGGGAGTTATTCTCTGGTTGCTGAGATTTAAAAATGGGGTATTGAAATCTCCAGCTTAGAGTATTTGATCAAACCCCAGGAGTGGCAGTTGCAGTATTACCTAAATCAGTTTGCTTTTCTGGGCCTTAGTATCAGAAGGAGGTCGGTAAATCCCTCCAATCAAGTATTTCGTGCCATTCGAGTGGAAACAACACCAACATGATTCTATCACCCCAGTTAGTTGGATGTCGTATAGTCGCTCTGCTTTTAAGTGGCTACATATATCGCCACTCCACCTCCAGTTTGGTGCTCCCTATCGCTTCGGAAGAATGTCATGCCTGGCAAGCTCACTTCTGCGTCTGCAATGTCAGGGAATAGACATGTTTTAGTTAGGATTATGATCTTCAGATCTATCTGAGAGCACATATTCCTGATTTCTAACAGCTTACCCCTTAGTCCTCTTACGTTGCTAAAGAGGCACTTGGTGGTTTGTCTCAGCACCTGGTGCACATTTGCAGCAGCAGCCGTTGTTGGATTTTCAGACAAGTTATTTAAACCGAATCGGCTAGTTCTGTGAGAACTGGCCTCTGCAGGTTTTTTGCCTGCGCGGTTGGTTCAATCATGTCTTGTGCCAGAGGTAGTTGATCGAGCTTAGCTATCAGTTGTGTGCGTTCATTTTCGCCTCCCTGATGTTGTCTCACAGGTCTAGGTCGGCTCTCGCAGCAGCTGATGTGGCTAGGCAGATCGTTCCTCGAACCGTACCAAGTTTGTAGTGTTTCGGTCAGGTTTTCCCGGTTCCTAAGTGTTACAGCCATCAGGCGTGGTGACTTGATAGATGTAAGGTGTAACGGGCGGGGCAACCTGGAAATGCAAACAGCCATCGTGGTGTGGAGGGATAGGCTACGCGATAGCCATCGCCACTGTTGCACATCGTGCTCGTGAGCTTCGTCCGGGTTACCGCTGGTGAGTTCGGGTATGCCGTGAACTAACATGGTGGTCTGTTCTTGGGTGCCTGGCTTAAATCTGGCTGCTGCACGTACCGAGCACGGCTTGTCATACCTGATACGAATCAGCGAGAACTATTTGGGATGAAAGGGTTATGTCTTCAGCAAGTCGTGCCGAGTCAAGAGTTACCCTCATTTGGGAGGGGGGTTTCCTTTCGAGACATTTTGGCCTTTGAAAAGGCGGCATATTTTGGCTGGGACGTCGCACATTCCGAGAGTTGAGCAGAGTTTATCCCACTGCTCTTTGTCGAAGGCAGCCCTACTTTCTAGCAAGCTTTCTTCCGATACTGGGACATCAAATAAAATGGGTGAGTTTGATCTGTCGTCCATGATCTTAGGCGGACGTCGCTTGTGAGTTGGGGTGTTGCTCTTTCCCTTCTTCACGTTCACCCACAGTTTTTTATTGCTAGCAGATACTGGGTGGTTAACAACAACCGGCAATTTTGTCGGTGTGTTAGGCAGGGTTGTGGTAGCCTTGGTCACTTGTTTTACTGGTTTAGTGCAAGGCGATTTTGGTTCGGTCGTATGGACTTTAGGGCTGATTTCGGGTGGGACCTGTGGCTTTGTCAGTGCATCAGAAACTCTACACCAAGGGCAAATGTACCAGAACCATGGGCAGGGGTGACTCAGCATGAATCCGTAGTACTCTTTAGGTACTGTAGTGTCGCAGTGACGATGTACCCATGTACTACAGAAATTGCATTCAAAAGCAGACTCACTGATTTTGACCGGCACTGGGAAGGCGAAACAGTCATCTTTATGCGATTTATGTCTGACAGACTGTGTTGACTGAGCCTTGGGACGCCTTTTACTCCCATCCTTATCCAGTCTACTGGTCTTTTTAGGAATAGGATTCGGAGGATTGATGCTTGCTTCCTCTGTTTGAGACCTAGTGGTGTTTGAGTTCAGTGGTCCGAACTATGGACACTGATCTGAAGAATACTTCCGAGTGACAGTGTGAGTATTTTCAAAACCCTGTTGCTCAAGACTGGAATTTTGGATCCGCTACTGACCCCAGGGTTCATAACTCTGCAGATTTTCCTGATTGTTAGAGTGTATAATGTGCTAGCAACCTTATTACTTAACATGATACCAGAGAGATTTAGAGGTGAAAGACGAAGTAATTAAGATAGTAAATACACGAAATAGGAATTACTGAAGGAAGAATATAGGAGTGTATAATATAACTGCGAGGAATAGAACCTGAAAGTGCTCCAAAATTGCAACTTTATCTTTTACCGTCCTAGTAGGTAACTTCACGTGGATCTAGTAACTTGTCCACAAGTCCTGTGTTTGCGAGTGAATGAATGTGTGTATACGACCGAAGCAACTAGGAAGAGAGCAGTTGATTGAGACAGCTAGACCTGCCGCACAATGGTTCTGACTTGAAATGATTCCATTCGCCCTAAATTGTTCTGAGATCGTCAACCAGTGAATGGAGACAACATTTGTCTTTGGGAGTGACTAAATATCCCAATCTGGAGTCCGAAAATGGTTCGTTTCCTTTAAATGGAGGGAAGTCAACGAGGTCACGTCAGATCCGATTCCCTCCTATATATATATATATATATATATATATATATATATATATATATATATATATATATATATATATATATATAATATATATATATATATATATATATATATATATAATCTATACCAAGTGCAGCCAAATTATAAAGTCGATATATTCTGTTAATGTGGATAATAAGTGTTAGAAATCTATTCGCTTGGTAGCTGATCAAGTGATAACAAATAGTTTGCTAGTGGCAGTGTATTTGAAGAGCGGTAAATGGCATCATACACTAGGTGAGAACCAACCAGTGACAGTGACTAAAGGCTACATTTAAACAACAATAACAGTAACTGTAAACAACGAAGTTGAACAATGAAAAAATTTGAATGACAACAAAAAACTTTCACAATATAAGTCTTTATTAATCACCCTCACAAGCCTAACTTTGGCACAAAGTTTAAAGGTTTCCGTACGAGGTGTTCGACGACTATTCCAAACGAACTCGGTAAGTAGGTTGTTAGTGCCTATCCTAAAGAGTTCCTTTTGTTGAATTGTATAAACAATTTTTATATTTTAAACTCCACAAACTAGTGATATAGCATATATACTAATCACTAGTCTAACTCCATTCGCAGTTAGTGGTGATGCATATACAATGCATTATGAAACCAAAGGCCGTGTCAAAAGTCTGGAGTTTCAAGTGTATATTTTTAAGAATTTTTCGCCATATTCGACGTTTTTAATTAATAAATTCATTGGGAATGAAACGTTACGTGGGGTTCGAAACATTTAACTCTCCTTTCACTAGTCTTGTCAACTTATCAATGTAAGATACTAGATGGCCGTTAATGTATTCTGAATGGTCTTCTGCGGCTGTATACGCCAGCATACTATAACTGAGATTACGTCCTCACCGTTTTTAGAATCATTTTTGATTAGTTATGGAGCAATAAACCCAACAAATAGCAAGGAAACTACATCCAATATCCAGTATCTTTTTCACGAGCTATTATAAATCAATTTATTTCTTTGCGTTTGATTCTTGTTCTTTGGGTACAGTGCCGATTCGGTAAATCAGTAGACTCAGTTCATGTTCTATAGCTTCTCCAATTAAAACCGCATTGTTCCTTAATAAATTTAATGCCATCTAGTTATCTACCACCTAACGGTTCATAATAATCTCTGAGATCATCAATCTACCATTGTTATACAAACTTGATCAATCATAGTGTTCATGTAGAACCGTTCTTCCTCGGTTCTGTGATATGTTATAATCGTCGTTTCAGCTATTTTTGTCCTGAATAAACTCACTAAATAATACCATTTATGTTTTAAAACTCTACAATTTACACACAAACGAGTCTATTTCAATTCATAGCGCCGTACATTTTCATCGAATAAATTGCATTTTCTCAGCATCATAAAAATAGTAGAAAAATCGGCTTAAGTTAACACACCACATCAGCACACCCAGATAAAATTACGGAGACTAATATCACAGTATTGGCAGTGGTATAATATATTGGATTTAGTAAGATTAAGAAAATCGTATGATCTCGAGAGTCAAGATCTGAAGGAGGACGAACGCTAGTAACCCATAAATGTGCTCCTAATAACCATGTTTCATACTGTCCAAATAAAGCGAAGCTAATTACTGTGTAGTAAGCTAGTTTTTTGGTTGTCTATAAGTAACCAAAGTTGACAAAAGTCAAGCGAGCTTTCGGAATTCGTGTCGAAAATAAAATAACAGTTGTATAGAAGTGATAAAATGTTCCTTGAATAGTAGCGATAAAAGGAAGCTCGAAAAGGCATGTTCCTGAAAAGAAATCGTCAGAGATATCGTTCGGTCAAAAACGTATCTTTCATATCAAGGACGCAAATAAGTTACGGTAGGATCACCGCCTACTTTCTCTCTGAGTCATGTTTGGTAACATGCTAATCCGATGAGATGTACGGTCACTAGGTTTCTATGTGCGGAGTTACTAAGCGTCGGTGGATACTAACTCAACACGATCACCCTTCATTTTTCAACACCGTGTCTCAGATTAACCACTACTAACTGCAAGCAATTTTTTCTAGACTCAATTATCAGATCATCCCATTGCAACTTTTATGGTTTTTTTTAATGGTCAAACCAATACAGCAACAGAACTATAATTATCCAGGCTAATATAATTTACTTCAGATTCGGCCATATATAAATCGACTTAGTCGTTTAAACCACTTTCAAAGTCCATACAGATACACAAATATACCAAATCCCTTCAATCCAAACATTTTTCCGGTAAATCCTGTAGAAGGACGATGTATGTGATGTTTACCGACGTTCCACTAAGTAGTGTTTGTCATGGCATCAAAAACTATATCGTTGCACAACCGAGTAGCAATTCTGTCGTTAGGAAACGAATACTAGTTGAACGAAATTGCTCAGAATCGTCTGCAATGGTGCAGGTGTATTCATTCGTTGTATTCTCTCAAATCCTAACCTTCGTAGTTCCTCACCACCTTTACCTTTATCTTTTTAAGTTTATTTCGCTAGATTCTACTTCTTGAATAATATCGTCGAACACTAATCTTCTGGATTACTGCTAATACATCTACTACCTCTACTACTATGAGATTTGAAGTGACACTTTCATCTCTGTGCTAATGTGGTATGACAACTTGAACTGATGTACTTACGTACGAAGTTTCACGTTGCTGTTGACTGATTGACACTTCACAGGGTTTTATTGATGGAGATGCTAAAGGGGTAATAGTGAGATTGTCTAACCTTTCTTTATCAACAACTGTTGGAACAATGAAGGAATATATTTCTATGGCCTTACTGTATCGGAGATAAATGTAATGTTAAAACTACTTTGATTGTACATACAGTATATGATGGTCTTAAAACATCTAATAAAGTGTGAGGAAAACCATAACCCTATTGGAATACAATATGATAACAATAAGTTCTTTTGATGGACACAGTATGACAGAAACCGACACATTATACACGACTGGTGGCTTATTTCTACTCTACTCATTGGCTTGTAAATTACATTGACTTAGCGTGTAGACAAGTATAGTAATCGCATCACTGTACGACAGAACAGTTTTTCTTAACCTGAAATAATTTTGAAGCTTTAGAGCAGTAATAATAAAAAGCAAACACTTCCAAAATTGCTTGGTGAAGGAGAAATTTTATAATTCTTGATAGACCATTCACCAATTTTCTTTGTAGGTCATGTTTGAAGAGAAAACGCATTCACAGTAACTTGAAAAATCCAAGGGAAAGGGAAACTATACTCTCAGTCAGTCAATACAGATAGAATTATCTTCCAAATCCCAGAGTGACAGAGTCAGTAGCACTATCAGTTGGGAAAGGGTCGAAGATGAGATTCAAGGAAATCTAAATAGGTGAAACTTAAAAAAGAGGAATATAGAAGATTAGCATTTGGGAAAAGTAACAATAGATGCACCTGCGCCGTTGCAAATGGTTATAAGCCATGTTATTCAAGGCCTCTAACTATTGGTTACCAAATAGTCTATGCTTATTAACATGGCTCGGTCTGACTGTCAGTGAATCCATAGTCTAGTGCCATGTTTTGGTTTGGCAGCCATTGCTTTCTTCCAGCCTACTCCTACATCAGCCAGCATTACTCATCGAAGTAGTCAGTGGTTGGGCATACGTAACATATTTCCCAACCACTTCATTTGATGAAGATTAACTACTTCATCAATCAGTTTGCTATCCCTACCTGTGACTCTATTCGTAACCCACTCATTATTTACTCGGTGCTCCCAAAATGCACGAGTGATGTTTCAGACACAGCTGTAATCGAATATCCTCTATTTTTAATGGCCTTATTTCATACCCATGCAGTAGAACAAAGCGACCTGTTACCCAGCAAACTCATTGTTTGGCAGACGGATCGCTTACCTACCCCACAAGTAATGCAAGTTGACAATAGCCAATTGAGCCTGCTGTATCCTTACCGATATTTCGTCAGACAACAGACCGACAAGACTGATGAGATTCAAGATTAGTGAGGAAGTTGATACACTCAATACTTCATTCCCTATCGAAAATTCAGGTATAGACGCAAGTCACTACTGAAGCAACATTTTGTATTTGTAGGGGGAGCTTCGCATCCTGAACATTGTAGACTTGTTGCTTAAGGTGGTCAGAAGACTGCATTTTGTCATCGTTTTCGCTAAACAGAGCGATATCATCTGCATATTTTAAGCCATATATATATATATACTAGTCATGTTTAATTTCCTTCACTTGAGTTTCTTTAGTTAATATTTTTTGTTGTTATCTTGATGGCTTTTTCAGTCTATCCTGAGCTACCAAACGTTTTTTCAGTAAACATCATTTGTGAAATTTTCGAGAAGCCATCATTACATATATCACAGTAGAAACCTGAAGAATACCCACACACGATTCTATGGATCTTTTTGAAGAGAAAGATCGACTACATGGCTCTACAAGGGAAGCTGGTGGGCTCATAATAACCAAGTCGAAAGAACATTTCAAACAACCTCAAAAGTCCTTATTTGGACTTGATAAGTTGGCGGCAAAAAAGCGCCAAGAGTCTGAAAATATTGATCTACAGTTTAACAAGCGTGATGGTGCAAATAAAGAAAGGTAGTTAAAAGTTTTGCAATAAGCTTATTGTTGTCTTAGGTTCTACAGGGAAAGGCGTGTAGAGACTCCTTCTAATCGTGGAGGTGTTAGCAAGGAATATTTCGATTCTCAGGCAAGAAGGCGTGAACGTGATCACAAAGAACGTTTAAAAACCGGTCTTGTATCAACATCCAGAAAAATCAATGAGAACTATTCAGAATCCCGGAAGTCATCAGGTAAACATTACGTTCCGATTTTGTTAATGAACATCAAGCAATTCATATTTAATGGTCACTTGACATTTACCTTTCCGACTGTGTTTCATATCTTTACTAAAGCTCATCGTTCTCGTATTAAATCTTAAGTCGTACACGGTGTGTAAGTTCTCAAGGTTTAGTTAGTATTAAAAAAACCAGATGTCGGGGAATAAAGGTGGGAATTGACATCTTTTATGTTAATGAATCACATTTTAATTGAAACGTTTCATCTTGTTTGTAAAATCGTATACTAAATAAAATTTTAACTTGTAAGCATTAGAAAAAAATCGACAAGACAGTTGCTTACTCAAATAAATTGAACTTTGTTACGCATGCACCTAAACACGTCATTTGATATGCTTGAACTACTACGAGTTTATCTTAGTCGGAAAACGAGAGCGAGCATCCGGCGACACGACATGTTACTCTAATCCGTGTGTCCCAAACCCCATTGAGTGAAAGAAGAAGACTTGATATGAAGTAGAACCTGTATTCTACAAGCATCCAGAAAGTACGAGGTCTGAGTTCAGAAGAGAATCAGGATCTCGGACTAGGGATCCGCGTCCGGCTTATAAAACGTTACAAATAATGCGTATTTATAACAATAGGTCGAGTAGGAACCAACAGTGAAGTATGTGACATTGATAGTTAGGACGACCAATAGGAATAGATCAATAGTATTAGACTTTTCGGGTCGGAAATGTAGTCCCAAGGTCAACTGATCAGCCCACGTGCTAAAACATATAATCCAAAATCAGCACCTTTATCAAGTGATTTCTGCGGATCTAACGTTCCCAATAACTGACATTCATTATTTAATTATTAAAATGTAAATCTAGACATTTGAATCCTAAACTACTTCATTATTCCCTTTCTTCATTTATCCACTACCAATGGTATTATCTATTGTGAATTATTTCTTGCAATATTTATGGTATATATTCTAGCGTTATTACATTGATAATTCGTTTGCAGATTGTAATCTAAAAATAATCCCATCTACATTCATTTGCTTTTTCTGATAGTCAGTCAGTCAGTTGCAACGTAGAACTTCCTACGTAAGTACATCAGTTCATGTCGCCATACCACATCAGCACAGAGATATAATTGTCAATTCAAATCCAATAGTAGAAGAGTTAGTAAGGGTATTAGAAGTAATCGGAGAGGTTAGGATGAGAAGATATTATTTAAGAAGTATGATTCAGTGAGATAAGTTTAGAAAGTCAAAACTAGAGGTGTTGAAGAATCCAGAAGATTAGGATTTGAGAGAACACAAAGAATAAATGCACCGGCGCCATTGCGAACGATTTTGAGCCATGTCATTCAAGATCTCTAACCATCGATTATTATCATCTCGCGGACCCCAACCAGGTAGTCGACAATTACCGACATGGCTCAGTCCACTAGTCAATGACTTCATGGATTTCTGCCATGTTTTGGTTTGGCCGCCCCTAACTTTCTTCCAACCTATTCCTACACTACAAAACAAAGCTCGACGAGGCAGTCGGTGGTTGGGCATACGCAACACATGTCCCAACCACCTCAACTGATGAAGTTTCACCACTTCATCTATTGATCTGCCATTCCTACCTAGCACCCGATTCCTAATAACAGCGTTGCTCACTCGGGTGTCCCAGGATATGCGAGCAATGCTTCGAAGACACCTATGATCGAAAACCAGTAACCTACGAATATCTTCTACTCTGACTGGTCATGTTTCACAGCCATAAAGTAAGACGGAGCGAACCACTGCACAGTACACTCGTCCTTTAGTCAGCAAACGGATATCTCGCCTACGCCATAAGTGACGCAGGTTGATTTTTTTTTCTGATAGGGATGTCCAATAGTCTCGTTGTAAACTATTCTTAATGAAGCCGATGCATAATTTACAACCTTTTAGTTATTTAAGCTAGGTTCAGTTATATTCACTGAAAACCTTTTAACGTTATTTTATCTTGTTCGTTATCTTTCATATTTATTACTAAAATGATTTTATTATGATTATACACTACTGAGTTAACCTTTAAGCAATCGTTACGCAACAAGGACACGAAGACTAGATACTCTGTGCTTTACACTCTGCCCCCAATACTAACAATCTCCGAACGTAGCGGAAGAACATATGACCAATAACAATCAGTCCAAGATCTACTATCATATTTCAAACATTCCTTTGTATACATACAAAACTAGACTATATCACAACAATAAATGAAAGACAATAAAACTAGACATGAATGAACTAAAAGTGACTGGAAGTAAGGAAGACTGTAAATACTAAACTGTCAGTAATATGAGAACAATCAATCGTATGATAATAGTTTTTTTTGGGGTTAATGAAAATCTTATGATAACAGGAACTTTATAAACCGGATAATCTAGTTACTTAATAATAATAATAATACAGTAAGAATATATACAATAATAATAATAATAATAATTCATAAATTGATACTCTGAATTACTGTTACTTTAATTTTCGTTCGAATATAACACGTTTTATTTTATGAATAATATTTTTTTAAAAATTTCTTGATAGATCATTCTCGTGTTGAATCAGTTAGAGAAAAAGAATCTCTCAGCACTCGACATCGGAGAGAAGCAGAATGGGAAGATGAAACACCTAACCATAGTAGTCGAGAAAATGGGCATACTTCAGGAGCAAGCACTGGCCGTTTTGAAACCCCAGAAATATACACTATTAAAGGCCAATCTCCAGGTCATTCTAGCTGGGATGATTCTGGCTTAGGATCTAGTCGATCGACTACCCCTCGAAGTATCGGATCATTAGCTCGTCATTCCAATAATGATCGATATACTTATACTCCTATGCCTACTCCAAGTTTTAAGCATAACTCATGGATGCAATCAAATAAAAATGATATAGGAAACTCTGATTCTAGAAAACAACATTCTATTCGCCATACACCCCATGGTGGTCAGTCACGTACACAACATTCCAATGAGAATGAAGATGATAGTGTAAAGCCGGATTCTGTTGAAATGGAAGGAGATAGTGAAGATATGAATGCTGAAAATGAACGCCTAGATCGTAATTGGTATCAAATGGATGATGGTTATGATGATCATAATCATCCGTTCTCTGGTAAGTTAGTTCGATTGCAGTGCTTGCTTTCTGCCAAATACGTTTTATTATTTGCTGTCATTTGTGAAAAAACTACTTTTATCTAAATACTAGTAGTATCTTGATTAGTTAAATATGCCAAAGGAAAATGACATTTTAGTGTAACCGTTTTAGCGATCATCCATTTTATGTAATAGTCAAAATGTTATTTTTCTCTCAAGTTCATCCGTTAAGTTATGCCGGTCGCTTGTCAGTAATAGTAAATGAGTTTGAGGATAATTACTCAAGAGCTAGAAATAGTTCGGTTATTGTTTTCGCTTATTTTAAAAAGTCATCAGCTGATCTTGTTTTCTACCTCGTTTCGAACTGACCCTAGTATACTACATTGCAGTAAACAATCAGGGTTATTGTGCTGCAAGAGCCACAAATTACAATAAGTAAGTTGTTTGTCTACTTTACTTAATTATTGTTACTCTATTGCAAAAAACGTAGAAATTCATTAGGATTAAAAAGAAACGATCGTTCCAACCAATGTGGTTGGAATTACTCATCGTAATGACCAATTCTAACCAACCACCTCAAAGTAGCCAGTTATAGTCGGGAGTGGTATAAAATAACCGATCAGATCACATTCACAAATGTCACGTACAATAGTCTAACTAACGAATCCAACCAACTGAGTACAGAAGCTTGATTAATCTAATGTATAGTGTGTAAGATCCATTTTTTTTGAAGGCTTTGTTTGTGAAAATCCCTCCATGTATATACATTTGTAATTTGTTCTTATTGATTTCTTCAGTTGTACATTTTGTTAATCTGTTCAATTCCATTTTGAGATGATAATATTTGCACTTTATTATAGTTTCTATTTGTTTTGTGTCTTCACTGAGTTTCTGTGTTTCTTTCTGAACTGCATTTGATGTTGTTTAAGCTGATACTTAGTCATGGTGACAGTCATATTGATTTGTTCCTCTTTTGATTGTGTTGCTTGTATTGACTGGAATTGTGCATTTCGATTGTAAATTGAAGCACTCTTCCAGAATAAGAAACACTCTGTGTTATAAAGCAATTAAATATTATCTGTCGAACGCATCTGATCAATCCAGGAGGGATAGAATAACATTTATTTGTTGCTGTTGATTTGATTAATTGAACAATGGTTGGTGGAATAACTAAGTGGTAATATTTATTTGGGTAATGATGTACATTTGTATTTATGATAAATATTAGAACTGTCATTTACCCAATTCACTTGTTTTGGATTTCAACTGGTCAATACGCGTATCTAACCTACCTAAACAGTTATTCTTCAGTCCAAACTTTCGTTTAGATCTCACATAGAGTGATTAAGTGGTGTCATAGCGAGAGATTTTCTTATTTACCCTCATATCATCATTCATTCACAATCCTTTTCACAAGCACTGAATAGAATTTTCTTCAATTTTTTTTTCTACTTACTTTTGAAATTTTTAATTCATAGATATACCTGAAGAATATGCTGCAAAAAAAGAACGTCAATTGGCGGAACGTAAAAAACGACATAAACAACGTTTAACTGCTAAAGCAGTCCAGGTGCATAAAGATAATCAAGCATGGGAACATAATCGTATGTTAAGATCCGGGGTTGTTCAACGTGTGGATTTTAGTCAAGATGAAGATTTTGATGAAGAAGGTGAAGCTAGAGTTCATTTGTTAGTGCGTAATATACTTCCACCATTTTTGGATGGACGTATTGTTTTTACACGTCAACCTGAACCGATTATTCCTGTCAAGGTAAAGTATAAATATATATATTTTATTATTTTTTTATTTCTGGACACATTAGTTTTACCTTTTTATCTGGTCAGAGAATGATAGCTATGTTATAGGATATTTATGTAATCTCTTAAGATAATTGTTTGTAGGTCTAATACTATATTGGTCAATATTACGGTTGTCCTATAGCTATCAATGTCACATACTTGAATGATGGTTCCTATTCGACTTAACTGTATAAATACGCATTATTTGTAACGTTTTATCAGCCAGATCTCTAGTCCGGGATCCTGATTCTCTTCTGGACTCGGACCTTGTACTTACCGGATACTTGTAGAATACATGTTCTAATTCAGATCAATGGGGGTTGGGACAGTCGGATTAGAGTAGCCTCTCGTGTCGCCGGGTCCTCGATCCTCGCTCTCATTTTCCGACTAAGGTAAACTCGTAATAGTTCAAGCATATCAAATGACGTGTTTACGTGCATGCGTAACAAGCTAGAAATGTACTTTTAATAAGTTGATTGGTTTTATACATGTTTGTCGTATTTCAGTGTAGTTTTTAACTGATAGCCTATTGAAAGCTAGAGAGATATGAATGTCTTATTTTGGCTCAAGACTTCTCAGCAGTAGATATAATACCTATGACCCTTATAGGATCGAACTAAAGACCCTGAGATTTTGTGACAAACAGAATACCTTCAAATCATTTAGTTTGATTTGTAGGCATTCTACAACATCACTAATCAACGAACACACGACATTTTGATCATAGGTTTTCTGCTTTATAGTTCAAGAATGTCGTATTCATTTTGAAACCCAAAAATCTTGGTCTCATTAAGACGTAAATTTGTCAATTATTCACTGCCTCATTTGTTTCAGTGATTTCGTCAGTTTGTAAAAATGACTTACTTTTAAATGACGCTTGATTAAATATCCCAGCTAAGTAATCAAGGTTTCTTTTGCATAACTATCTTTATTCAATAAGAAATGGAAAAGTATTGATCATGGTTATTTTTTATTTAGTATACGTTGTCTTAATACCGCCAAATAAAAACACCATGATCATTTATGTTTGTAAAGTACATATTATTTATCACATTCTCTGTTGCATTTTGGTTTATTAAAACTGATGAAATCTCAGCATGGATACAGAAAGTTCGATTGGCTTTTGCCAACTTGCGTCATCTATGGTGCAGGCGAGATATGTTTGCTAATCAAAGGACGAGTCTACTACGTAGCAGTCCGCTCTGTCCTACTATATGGATGCGAAACATGGCCGATAAGAGTAGAGGACATTCGTAGATTGCTGGTCTTCGATCATAGGTGTCTTCGAAGCATTGCTCGTGTATCATGGGACAACCGAGTAAGCAATGATGTCGTTAGGAAACGAGTACTAGGTAGGATGGCAAATCAATAGATGAAGTATTGAAACTTCATCAGTTGAGGTGGTTAGGATATCTGTTACGTATGCACAAAAACTGACTGCCTAGACGATCTATGTTTTGCAGTGTAGGAATAGGTTGGAAGAAAGCTAGGGGCAACCAAACCAAAACAATGGCGCAAATTCATGAAATCACTGACAAGTGGACTGAGTCATGTTGGTAGATGCAGGCTGGCTATCTGGTTGGGGTCTGCGAGATGATGGTAATCAATGGTTATACATTTTGAATGACATGGCTGAAATCCGTTTGTAGTGGCGCCGGTGCATTCATTCATTGTGTTCTCTCAAATTCTAACCTTCTGAATTCCTCATCACCTCTGTCTTTCTCTTTCTAACTTTATCTCACTGAATTATACTTTTTTAAATCATATCTTTACTCCCCTATTCTTCTCCATAATCGACAATAGTATTCTGAAATTCCATTGATAGTTTATCGAGTTTTATATTCTTAGTGTAGTGAAAGAGAACACAGGTGGGGCAACCGAATTGTATTTAACGAAAATTACAGAGTTACTCAGTAAAACAAGAAAACCATGTCGTAACTCGTTCATTTGCAAATTATCAGTCCATCATATCGAACTGGACTGTTCCTGTTGCAAAACATCAATCCATTGTCATCACTATTCATGCGTTTCATACAAATTCCATTGTTTTCTAACTCTTCCTTCCTTGATCTTCCCCCATCTTCTACTGCCAGACATTACGTTGACACTCACGTCATACACTACTTATAAGTAGCTCACACCACATTAGCACATGTATATTCTAATAGTGGACGCTTTTTTTGTTTTTCTTTTCTTTTCTTTCATTTTATAGGATCCAGAAAGTATTATGGCTAAAGTTGCTCAAAAAGGCAGTGCTATTGTGAAATATTTTCGTGAACAAAAAGAACGTAAAAGAGCACAGAAAAAAGAATGGCAATTAGCTGGTACACGTATTGGTGAAGTGATGGGTATTAAAGCGCCGGAAGAACAAGATAATTGGACAGAGAAATCACATCGTGATGCACAAACATTTGCCGATAAAGTAGGCGATATGAAATCGGAAGCAGTGAGTGAATTTGCTACAAGAAAAACTATTGTAGAACAACGACAATATTTGCCAGTATTCTCTGTCAGGACATCTTTATTGAGAATGATTAAAGAACATCAAGTAAGTAGGTTGTTATTGTAATTTTTTTTGTTTTGTACAGTACACAATTTGTGTAACACTTTGTTTTTTGAGTTTGAAAATCATTTTTTTTTTATTTTTTCTACATTTCAATTTAGATTGTAGTGATTGTTGGTGAGACTGGTAGTGGTAAAACAACTCAACTAACTCAATATTTACATGAAGATGGTTATACAATTTATGGTATGGTTGGTTGTACTCAACCACGTCGTGTTGCTGCTATGTCAGTTGCTCGACGAGTTGCTGAAGAAATGAATGTACGTTTAGGTGAAGAAGTTGGTTATGCTATAAGATTTGAAGATTGTACTTCTTCTTCAACTTTAATTAAATATATGACTGATGGAATTTTATTACGTGAATCATTACGTGAATCGGATCTTGATCCATATTCTGCAATTATTATGGATGAAGCACATGAAAGATCATTGAATACTGATGTCCTGTTTGGATTGTTACGTGAAGTAAGTATTTTTTTAGTTTCCAAAGTTTAAATATTAATGATAATAAAGGTTCGAATTACCCCTGTTGTTGATATTCAAGACTGAACAATTAGTTGCTGTTTGGACTCTGCTTTTGAGTATGAAGCAGAAGGTAGTAGTCGGTTCTAGTTTCAGTTTAAACAACTTCAATACTGTTTTACAAATCATTCCAATATCAAGTTAGGCAACATGTACCTGTTACCCACAATATTGATCTATTCCGTAAAATAAAATATACACATGTTAGAATATTCACCAAATATCCTACGAAGAATCATTTTGTAAGTGTAAATTCGATTGGTCGATTCCTATTGGTCAATATTATGGTCATCCTAGCTATCAATGTCACTTCAGTCAGTCAGTCAGTCAGTTGCAACGTAGAACTTCGTACGTATGTACATAAGTTCATGTTGCCATACCACATTATTAGCACAGAAACGCAGATGTCAAATCAAATCCCATAGTGATAAAGATAGTAGAGGTATTAATGTTAATAAAGAAGACTAGGGTTTGAAGAAATTATTCAAAAAATATAAATCAGTGAGATAAGGTTAGAAAGACAAAGTCAGAGATGCTGACGAATCCAAAAGATTAGGATTTGAGAGAGCTCAAAGAGTGGATGCACCTGCGCCATTGCAAACGATTTTGAGCCATGTCGTTCAAGGTCTCTAACCATTGATGACTTTCGTCTCGCGGACCCCAACCAGGTAGTCTACATCTACCAACATGACTCAGTCCACTTGTCAGTGACTTCATGGATTTCTGCCATGTTTTGGTCTGGCCGCCCCTAGCTTTCTTCCAACCTACTCCTACACCACAAAACATAGCTCGTCGAGGCAGTCGGTGGTTCGGCATACGCAAGACATGTCCCAACCACCTCGACTGATGAAGTTTCACCACTTCATCGATTGATCTGCCATCCTTACCTAGTACTCGTTTCCTAACGACAGCATTGCTTACTCGGCTGTCCCACGATATACGAGCAATGCTTCTTAAACATCTATGATCGAATACTAGTAACCTACGAACATCTTCTACTCTTAACGGCCATGTTTCACAGCCATATAAGAGAACGGAACGAACTACTGCGCAGTACACCCGCCCTTTGGTTAGCGAACGGATATCACGCCTACGCCATAAGTGACGCAGGTTGGCAAAGGCCAATCGAGCTTTCTGTATCCGAGCTGAGATTTCGTCAGTCACCAGACCGTCAGCACTGATGAGACTCCCCAGATAAATGAAGCGGTCTACACGCTCGACTACTTCACTCCCTATCACTAGTTCAGGTGCAGATGCAACCCAGTCTTGAAGCAACATTTTGCATTTCGAGGGGGAAAACCGCATCCCGAACATGCTCGCATTGTTGCTTATGGTAGTCAGAAGACTCTGCATTTTGTCAGCGTCTTCACCGAATAGAACTATGTCATCGGCATATTCTAGATCAGTAAGCGACTTTCCTGGTAAAAGTCAACCCATGAAAAATCAGACGAGCTTAATGTTAACTCTAACAGGATGTCTACGACAAAGTTAAACAAGAATGGAGAGAGTGGACAGCCCTGACGGACACCACTTGATGTAGAGAATTCAGATGACAGTTCGCCATATGCTCTCACCCGACCGGTGGTGTTCGAGTAGAGTGCTTGTATAAGGTTAATGTACTTCTTTGGTACACCTTTCAATGACAGACACTGCCACAGAACCTCACGATCCACTGAGTCGAATGCCGCCTTAAGGTCCAGGAACACGACTATTGTCGGACGTCTAAATGTGTGTCTGTGTTCCAGGACCTGTCGTAGTGTGAAGATGTGGTCTATACAACCACGTCCAGGTCGAAAACCAGCCTGGTTTTCTCGAGTCTGCTCTTCGCGAGCTCTAGTTAGACGTCTAAGTATAATCGAGGCTAACAATTTAGAAACTATATTAGTTAAACTTATTCCCCTGTGATTGTCACAAGAGGACTTCTGTCCTTTCTTGTAGATTGGGACAATTAGCGACTGAGACCAGTCAGATGGGATTACGTCCATTTCCCAGATTCTATCTGGGATCTCGGTCAGTCTAACCGTTAAAACTGGACCACCATCCTTAAACATCTCAGGGGTAAGCCTATCGGGACCTGCCGCTCTACCTCTCCTTAGATTTCCTATAGCTTTCTCAACTTCATGTAAACTGGGAGGACTTAAATCGATTTGCCATTCAGGATGACTGGAGATCGTAGGCAACCGAAGTGTGGCTGAAGGCCAGTTGAACTGATCCCTAAAGTGTTCTGCCCATCGGTCCAGCCTCCTAGATTGAGAGTGGATAATAAGACCATCCTTTTCCGAGATAGTCTCACTTACATTCGGGTTCCTAATACCGGTTTCTTTAATAAGGCGGAAAAGTTGTCTAGTGTTGCCGATCGCCGCTGCCTTTTCCATCACTTTTGCTTTCGCCACCCACCACTGTTCACGGTCGTTACGTAGGCTTTTTATAAGTCTGCGCCTAAGCTGACTACGCTCTTCATCATGTTCAGAGTCAGGTGGGATGCGTTTTCGAGCATCCATCAGTTCGGTGGATGCGACTGAAATCCACTGCTTCATCCTAGCCTTGTGGTTTACCTTGATAGCAGATACCATTGCTGTTTCCACAGCCTTCTTGATATGATTCCAACCTGCTTCAGGATGGGAATCACTCTCATAGCCGCCTAACTGTTTTTCTAGTTCCTCCTGAAATATTTTCTTAGCTTGATTATCATCAAGTAAAGCCCTAAGAGGCTTCCTTACGGTGTCTTTCCTACGTCCAGCAAGCCTCAAACAAATACGTGCTCGCACAAGGGCATGATCTGAATCTAAACATGTGCCCCAGAACGAGCGGCAGTCCTCTATCGAACCCCTCCATCGGTGGCTGATGGCGATGTGATCTAGTTGTGTCCAACGTTGAGACGACTTTGGAGGTCGCCAGGTCAAAAGGTGTTTTTCCTTATGCTTAAAATTAGTGTTTGCTAGAAATAATTGGTTATCTGAGCACAGTTGCAACAGACGGTCACCATTGTCTATTCTTTGAGCCGCGAGACCGTAACATCCACCTAGGTGTCTTTAATTTTCACTCAGTCTACCTACTTGTGCATTGAAGTCACCAGCCATTATAACTATATCAGAGCGCTTAACTTTTTGGAGGAGGTCCGAAAGCTTTCTGTAAAACTCATCTTTTACATCATCTGGGCTGCAGTCAGTGGGGGCGTAGGCTGATATGACGAAGAGGCAACGACGAGTGTCCCTATCTTTCCGAGTCCTTACTGTCCCGTTGAGTCGGACGGCGCACAAGCGACTATCTACAGGATCCAGTCAAGGAGAGATTGTTCTGCCCTACGACTCAATGCTATACCTACACCGGCGAGGCCCCTAGAAGCAGCATCAGGGCTACCGGATACACGAAGGGTAAATCGAGCTGCTTCTTTATCTTGACATGGTGAGGTCAAATGAGTGATGCTACTCGGATCCTGTATGCGCGTTTCCGAGACGCAGCACACATCGATGGAACGAGATTCTAAAGTCCTAGCTAATGATGCCTGTTGCCCTATTTGACACAATGTCCGTACATTGAATGCTCCAACATGTAGTTTGGAACGGGGTTTAAGGAGACCAGGAACGACGTTTCGCAAACTCGCATCGTTTGCATTAGCTGTGCACTGTAATAAATGAATGTGAGAAGATTTAGTTGTGGAGATAAGAGAGGTATTAGGGAATTTAGGAAGGATTTGATTTTGAACAATTTGGTCTCGTGTGCTGGTACGGGTATGAGGGCGGTTATCACTTCCCGGATGCCCACACCGTGGAAGGTTGTTTCTTGACGAACCTGAAAAGGAAGATGGATTAGTGTTGGTGCGTGACCGCAGAGTCCAAGGGACAACTGTTTGAGGCCGGTCACGCACGGCCTTTTTATGAGAGGTATTTAGAGGATTAGCTCCGTTCTTAAAGGCCCTTAGTGGGCACCCTTACCCGAGGAGACGGAAATCCGTGAGGTAGGGGAGGTGTGACATTTTTAGGGCCGACCTTTTCTAACCCTTCCTTCCTTGTGAGAAGGCAGCATCGCTGCAGATGCTGGTTGTCTGAGGGAAACACCTTACTGCTGTCACACGCCTCTGCAGTCAGCAGTACGACTTCGCCCTCAGACCTTGGGTAGCTGCTTTTAGTCTCATCGTTCTCCAATCGACCTGCCTGGCATGGTAGGACCTGCAGGAACATGTGTTCCAGCCAGTATAGCTCGGTTGGGTCATCACGATAGGCAAGCCCGACCACCACGTCAAGGTAGCAGCTTCGGTCGGGATCAATGTCACTTCAGATATTTTTGTTCTATAGTTCGCCTTGACTGTCAACGTCACAGACTTCGATGCTATTTCCTATTCGATCTAAATGTATAAATACTCATTATCTGTAACGTTTTATGACCCGGACCCGGATCCGGATCCCTAGTCCGGGATCCTGATTCTCTTCTGGACTCGGACCTCGTACTTTCTGGATGTTTTTAGAATACATGTCCTACTTTACGTCGTCTTCTTTTACTCAATGGCGGGGTTGGGACACTCGGATTAGAATAGCATGTCGTGTCGCCGGATCCTCGCTCTCGTTTTCCGACTCAGGTAAACTCGTATTAGTTCAAGCATATCAAATTGACATGTTTACGTGCATTCGTAATAACACATTATCGACGTTTAATTCTTCAAAAATAAATAATGATTTTTTATTGTATACTCGTCGTTGCTTATCACTTTAGCCTATGAAATCAATTATTTCTTTGTATGACTCCTCATAAATTAGGCTTTCTAAGAATATTTTTTTGTAGATCTGTAAAGCTCATTATTTTTGGTAAAGGTTCGTATCCTATCATTTTTGATTGAAAAAACCTCTTCACTAGGTCTCGGTTGATATTCGGCAATCTTGAGCGGACATCTCAATAATATTATGTGTAGCTACAAACTAACTATTACATTTTGAGTCGTAGTTAGCGGTAAATAAAACACGTGTGTTTGAAGCGACTGATGTTACGTAGAAAAATCCAAATGTATGAGTGCTTAAACCGAAATAAGTTGAGCGGAATTCGAACCCGGGACTTAGTAACTCAAAGTCGAATACCTTAAACATTGCACAGTCGTTTCACTTTATTCTCAGTCATATTATCGTACAATCAATCTTTTTTCCTCTAAATAATCATGAATTTACTGTTTTATGTATTATTTTTCAGGTTGTTAGTAGACGTAATGATTTACGTCTTTTAATTACTTCTGCTACTATGGATGCAGAAAGATTTGCTCAATTTTTCGGTGATTGTCCTATTTTTCGAATACCCGGTAGAACATTTCCAGTGGATACACAATTTAGTAAAACAACAGTAATGGATTATGTTGATGCATCTGTGAAACAAGCAATTCAAGTTCATTTAGGTTCACCAACAGATGGTAAATCTATTCCTTTTCGTTTTATTTTTATGCATTTGACATTTTAATCAGTTTGTCTTTTGTTCTCACTAAATACGAACTTATTACTAAGATGAGATTCAATTAATCAATCAATCAATCAACAGCAACGGAGAACTTCGTACGTACGTACATACATCAGTTCATTTTGCCATACCACATTAGCACAGAGCTGTAATTGTCAATTTAAATCCTCTACCTCTACTACTGTAGAGGTAGTAGAGGTATTAGCAGTAGTCGGAAAGGTTAGACTTAGAAGATATTATTCAGAAAGTAGAATCTAGACTTAAAAAGATAAAGTGATGAAGAATTGAACAGTTTAGGATTTGAGAGAACACAATGAATGAATCCAATTGCACCACTGCGAACGGTTTTGAGCCATGTCATTCAGGGTCTCTAACCATCTATTACTAACATCTCGCTGGCACCAACCAGGTAGTCGACACCTACCGACGTGGCTCAGTCCACTTGTCTGTGACTTCATGGACTTCTACCATGTTTTGTTCTGGCCACCCCTTGCTCTCTTCTAACCTACTCCTACACCACAAAACATAGCTAGTCGAGGCAGTCGGTGGTTAGGCATACGCAACACACGTCCCAACCACCTCAACTGATGAAGTTTCAATGCTTCATCTATTGATTTGTCATCCCTACCTAGTACCCGTTTCCTAATAACAGTACTGCTCACTCGGTTGTCTCAGGATATACGAGCAGTGCTTCGAAGAAACCTATGATCGAAAACCAGTAACCTACGAATATCTTTTACTCTCACTGGCCATGTTTCACAGCCATAAAGTAAGATGGAGCGAACTACTGCGCAGTACACTCGTCCTTTAGTCAGCAAACAGATATCTCGCCTGCGCCATAAGTAACTCAGGTAAAGATGAGATTCAGGGTTATTAAGTGAATATGACAAATCAGTTGATGATATTGTCGACGTCTACTACTGTTGATATTGTAACTAACTTCTATTATGATATCTGTCTTGATAGTTTCATCTCATTGTGCTACTTTGATATGAAAGCTGTTTCCACAAATTTGCTACAAATTAAACTGGACATCTTTTAAAATTTCATTGAATATTTGGAATGACAGATAGATAAAACCATTGATAGGTATATTACACTCTCTTTACCATACACACACACATACATACACTCATTCACTGTCATCCATAGCTAAAGAAACAAAATATTGTCTTTGTATTATTTATACGATTCCAATATTTATATCTTGAAGTTGATACTAAGGAGGAAATATTACCGGTAATTGTTACTAAAATAGTAAACTTTTTTTTATGTTCTTAGTTTGTTCTCGCGTGCTGTTGTGGGTATGAGGGCGGTTGTCACTTCTCGGATGCCCTCACCGTGGGAGAGTGTTTCTTAAGGAACCTGAAAAGGAAGGCAGATTAGTGTCGGTCTTAGAGACCTGGGAGTGTGACCGCAGAGCCCAAGTGACAGCTGCTTGAGACCGGTCACGCACGGCTTTTTATGAAAGGATTGTTGAGTATTAGCTTCGCTCTTTTTAAAGCCCTTATAGGGCAGCCCTTACCACCGGAGATGGAAATCCGTGAGGTAAGGTGAGGTGTAAAATTTTCAGGGTCGACCTTTTCTAACCCTTCCTTCCTTGTGAAAAGGAAGCATCGCTGCAGATGCTGGTTGTCCGAGGGAAACACCTTACTGCTGTCACACCCCTCTACAGTCAGCAGTACGACTTCGCTATCGGACCTTGAGTAGCTGCTTTTAGTCTCATCGTTCTCCAATCGACCTGCCTGTCATGGTTGGGTCATCACGATAGGCAAGCCCGACCACCATATCAAGGTAGCAGCTACGGTCGGATCAGGCAATTGTTACTAAATCGTAAACTTTTTCTATGTTCTTAGTTTACTACTAAAAGTTAAACGTTCAAATACTTGTACACTATAAGTTATGTTTATGTATATAGACTGTCTGAAAATGTTATTCATTAAGTTTATCACTGTAAACATATTTTCTTAATGTTTCAATCGTTCGTTTGTTTTTTTTCATCTCTCTCTCTCTCTGTCTCTAGGTGACATATTGATTTTTATGCCCGGTCAAGAGGATATCGAAGTGACATGTGAATTAATTGCTGGTTAGTTGTTATGACTCTTTGTTTTTTTCTCTCTGGTTTAGGGTTATCAACTAACTAACCACTAAATGTCCATTTTTCTTTTTAGTATGAGATGTTCTAGCAGTGTATACTTTTCACTGCAATAATCAAACTTGGAACTAGCAGCTTTTTGCAAAAAGCTGTTAATATTTGAATTGACATCTTATTGTTTACCATTTATAATTTCATTTATGGTATTGATTGGTGGTTGCGTAATACTGCGAATTATTGACCATTGAATATCAGCTTTGTCGTATAAAGGTTAGGTGCTTACAGCCAAGACCTTAGGGTCATATACTTGATTCTCAGTGAAGTCATGGTTTTAAGCTGTTGAGAAATCTCATACTCAGTTAAAACCGGTGTCTTATGCTTCTTGCTTTATAAAGTATCAGTCCATGAAGTAAATTTAAAACTTCAATAATCTTTACAAACCCATTATACTAATATTTTTTTCCCTTTGCATCTTTGTACATGCGTTCGGCCCAACGAAAACATGGCAGAAATTCATGAAATTACTGACAAGTGGACTGAGTCATATTGGTAGATGTAGGCTACCTGGTTGGGGTCCGCGAGACGAAAATCACCGATGCTTAGGGACCTTGAACGATATGGCTCAGAATCGTTTGCAATGGCGCAGGTGTATTCATTCATTGTGTCCCCTCAAATTCTAACCTTCTGAATTCCTGATCATCTCTATCATTCTCAATCTACATTTATCTCACTGAATTATACTTCTTGAATCGTATCTTCGAACCCTAATCTTCTCCATTACTGCTAATATTTCTACTATCGCTATCACTGTTGGATTTGAACTGACAGTTGTGTCTCTATGTTGATGTGGTATGACAACATGAACTAATGTACACTTACGTACGAAGTTCTGCGTTGTATTTGTCTGTTTGTCTGTCTTGTACATGCATTGTAATCGTAATCAGAATAGTTATTATTATCCGAAAATATTAACCACTTTCTTGTTAATAAACTTTAATTTATCCGTAATTTAAATGATAATATTTTTGGTTGCTAAATCTACGATGAGGCGTGCTAAAATTTCTGTGTAATCATTCAATCGAACATCCAGTTATTAACCACAAACGTCCCAACCTAATAGTGTTTAAAACATATATTAAATCTGGATAACTGAATAAAAAAATCAATAAAGTCCCACAATGATCGTTTTAATATTTTCACTCTTTGAATAAACAAGAAATGCGTAAAATATGTTCGACAATAGAGAAAGAAATATTATTGTTAGAGACAGTTGTCGTTGACTGTCTCTTATAATGAGATAAAATTCTTGCCAGATGATGAATAATGTTATTTCTGTAGAGTTTTATTGTTAACTCAGTGATGATTTAAACAATTTTTAAAAATCTTGATTTTTTTTGGTTTTATGCATTGAATTTTGAACTGTTTACAATTTTCAGAACGTTTAAGTAATTTGGAAGAAGCTCCTCCATTATCTATCCTTCCTATTTATTCTCAATTACCAAGTGATCTTCAAGCAAAAATATTTATGAAAGCTGAAAATGGTGTTAGAAAATGTGTTGTGGCAACAAATATTGCTGAAACTTCATTAACTGGTACACTTTGTTTTTTGTGATTATTCTATGCTTTTTCATTATGCAATTATGAAGATTGTTCAGTTTCATTGAAATTATAAACGATCAATGTTAGTTCACCATCAGAAACTTGGAAGTACTGGACGACTATATCGTCCTAGTATTATGTCACTCATCAACGGTGCGCATCTACGACCCCTGCTCGCGGGAATCGATCCAATTACTTTCGATCTCGCGCGCAAACGCTTAGCCTCTAACGATGTTATTGTATAACTTTAATTAATCCAAAGTGTTGCGTAACCTCACCCATTGTTTTCGGTGAGTAACTATCTACGCCCAACAGGAATGAATTCCACTGATCGCGACTTCTCACTAGAACTCACTAGGACTTCTGTTCCTTTAAATGGGACAACTGTGTGTACTTGCAAGGGTCCCTAATGTTGGAGTAGACTAGTCTAACAAGTTTGCTAGCTCCATGCGACTCAATTTCAAAAGACAGATCATACTTCGGAAAAATTTAACGTTATTAGAATACTTTTCAGATTTTATATTTCTTAACTTATGGTACGAGAACAGTTATTCGTACTTACTGTATATCAAATTTTACCTGAGGATTATTTAATAGACGAATAAATCTTTTCTCTCTGCTTGTGATATCTGGTCTCTTAGCTGAGGTCATTCCTTGAATTTCTGTATTCGATCATTATTGTCTGTGAACTATTTCTGGTGTCAGATGAGAACATATTAACAGTACTGCAGTTCGGCAATTTATTCGGACACAGTAATGGTAATACACTTAGGATCTTCATCTTGAAACACCGACTTCGGTGACTTGGATATGTGTTACTAATGTCATCGCAAAGGCTTCCACATTGTGTGTTGATTATTAACTCTGGAAATGTGTGAAAAATGCTTAAAGATGGCCGGTTTATGACACAGCGCTTTGTAAAACCAACGTCATGTCTTTCTAGCTGAGGTCCTAAAAATAATACAAATCAATGACCTGAGACATCATCATACCATGACTCAGAGTAAAGACCAGCAGTAATCTCCTGCTGTATATTTCACATTATTCACATGAAGGCAAGAGAAACTTCTTTAAGTGAAAAAGCATTCTTTTTTCTTTGTTTGTTGATTCTATTTCAATTTTTATACTGTATCATTTACATAATATTCTTGTTCAATGATTACTTTGTCGTCACTCCACCTGTTCCTTCCCTTACATTGTCATCATGTTATCCTTTTCATTTTGTGCGGTGTCCATTTGTACCAAATTTTATGTGTATTAAGTTTTGTTCAAAGAATACTCAGTAATGAGTGTTAGCTAACTTGTATATAGGTGTCTCCGAAGCATTGCTCGTGTATCCTGGGACGACCAAGTAAGCAATCCTATCGCTAGGAAACGAATTCTTGGTAAGGATGGCAAATCAATAGATGAAGTGTTGAAACTTCATCAGTTAAGGTGGTTGGGACATGTGTTGCGTATGCCCAACCACCGACTGCCTCGTCGAGCCTTGTTTTGTTGTGTAGGAATAGGTTGGACGAAAGCTAGGGGCGGCCAAACCAAAACATGGCAGAAATCCATGAAGTCATTGACGAGTGGACTTAGCCATGTCGGTTGGTGTCGACTACCTGATTGGGGTCCGCGAGACGAAAGTCACCAATGGTTAGAGACCTTGAATGACATGGCTCAAAACTGTTTATAGTGGCGCCGGTGCATTCATTCATTGTGTTCTCTCAAATTCTAACCTTCAGAATTCCTCACTATCTCAATCTTTCTCTTCCTAACTTTATCTCTGAATTATGCTTTTCGAATCATATCTTCGCTCCCTAATCTTCTCCTTTGCTGGTAATACTTTTAATATCGCTATCACTCTTGGATTTGAATTGACCTTTGAGTCTCTGTGGCTGATGTGTTATGGCAACCTGTACTGATGTACGACGTTCTGCGTTGTATTTGTCTGTCTGCTGACTTGTACAAATAATATACTCACACGAAAGGAGTGACATTTCCCTATGTTCTATCAACTATTTGATCAATGTTGTTAATTGAAAATAATACCGCTCAATCACCGAATCACCATCCTTGTTTAATCCGAATTGCTACATTACGTCAATAAATTCGGAATGAAATTAACAAGATTGAATTATTTAATATGCGATTTTAGTATTATTGGTCATAAACAAAAAACTAAACATCATTAACCTAAGAGAATATGAGGGTGAAATGAAACTGCTCTCGTATCATGGTACTCGACATCTAGCTATTTATTTATCACGTATACATCTCCTGTAACTCAATGAATCAGATTGTATGCATTTTATTAGTAGGATTCAAATCACTAGTCAATAGCTTCATAGATCTATTCTACTGTTTCGTTTAATTTATCTTTAACTTTCCTCCGGTTTTTATTCACTTACTTAAAAATATTAGGTAGTGGTAGTAGTAGTAGTTGACCGAATCAAACAGGGATTTACTGTTCTATTTAATTTGGAGATTGTTCAGTTTCATTGAAATCGCAAGCGATCAATTTTAAACCTGGAGGTACTGAACGGCTGTATTATCTGAGTATGGTACCCAACAGCTCTGTGCGCGTCCTCGACTGCGGCTTGCGGTCATCAAACCTATAACCTTCGATCCCGCGCGTGAACGCTTAACCTCTAGACCACTGAACTAGCATCCAACGATGTTAATGTCTAACTTGTATCAACCTACGGTCCTGCGCCACCTAATCGATTGTTTTCGGTTGGCACTACTTCACATTCGGCAGGGTTGAACTCCACTGCTTACAACTTCTCACTAGAACTTGGAGTAATTTTTTTCACGGAGCTAGTCACTAGTGAGCACTTATGCGCTAGTGGAAATCGTAAATGCGCACTGCTCATGAGTCGCATACTATCGAAATTCATAAATTAATTCTATCTAAATCAATATATATTTTTTTATTTGTTTAACTTTTAGTTGATGGAATACGTTATGTAATTGATTGTGGTTATTGTAAATTGAAAGTTTTCAATCCTAAAATTGGTATGGACGCGCTACAAATATTTCCAATTAGTCAAGCTAATGCTAATCAACGAGCTGGTCGCGCTGGTAGAACTGGTCCAGGGTAGGTGATTTTTTTTCTTGTTTAAGATTGTGATTTGAAGAAATACTATTGTAAATTGTATCGAATCTATAGTTTCCTGTCGTTCCATGTAGTTTATATTGTGGTGTGTGCTACTTATACGAACGATATAAGTAGTATGAGAAGAAACGTGAAAGAAGAAGTCGCACGGTCAGAAGAGGAAAACGGAAAGCAAATGGAGCAAAAGCAAGAAGTAAATGGATTACCAACAGGAAGGAAAGGAAGCGACAACGGGAATGGAAGAAGGATGGAGTGTTGGAAGTCACGACTCAAAGATGGTGTGCAAATAGGGTATTCAATGTAATGTTTTCGTTTTTAACTGACTCAGAGTGTAAATTTGCAAAATAAAATCTTGTCAACTCCACAGCCAGCTCGAGTGGGTCGCCATCCACCGTCAAACTTCTGACCGTGCGACTTCTTCTTTCACGTCCCTTCTTATACTACTTATATCGTTCGTATAAGTAGCACACACCACATTATGTTGACTTTCTTGTCAGTTCACATAATGTTTTATGTAGGTGGCACTTACTGGACGTAGAAGTGAGTTGTTTAGTTCAAAAGCGTTAAATCACTCAGTTCAGGTGAATTTCTCTATGAGTTGCTGTTTTCGGGGGTCTTTTCACTTTTATTTACATTTTTGTTGGTATTGAGCATTCTTCTATTTTGACCTTGAATTACACAATTTGTTGCTGACTATTTTTTTATTACTTATTCACTTACGCCTGTTACTCTTCTTATAGTATAAGCTACTGCTGACCAGGAATCCCGAATCAACTCTGTCGTGGACTCTCCATTCCTTGTTTTTCAGGAAGAATTTTCATTTTTCGACAATTCTAGTATTTATTATAGTCTCTTTCAATATTTAGTAAAATTATTGCAACTAATGATTGAGGTAATCGGTAACTTTCTATAAATATAACGTAGAAAATAGTCAGTCAGTCAGTTACAGCGTAGAACTTCGTATGTAAGTACATCCGTTCAGGTTGTCATAACGCATCAGCACAGAGACGCAACTGTCAGTTCAAATCCCATAGTGTAGAGGCAGTTGAAGTGTTAGCAGTAATGGAGAAGATTAGCGTTTTAAGATATGATTCGAGAAGTATAATTCCGTGAGATAACTTAAGAAAGAGAAAGATAGAGATGATCAGGAATTCAGAAGGTTAGAATCTGAGAGAACACAAAGACTGGATGCACTTGCGCCATCGCAAACAATTTTGAGTCATGTCGTTCAAGGTGTCTAACCATTGGTGACCTTCGTCTCGCGAACCCGGACCTACATCTGCCAACATGACTCAGTCCACTTGTTAGTGACTTCATGTTTTTGTGTCATGTTTTGGTTTGGACGCCCCTAACATTTACTAGATATTTATATTTCAGACTACAATTTACACAACATTTCGGCTCAACTAGTTAGCTGTATTTTGACCATGAATAGTTTTTTTTGTAGGATTAACATTCTATTATGGATAATTCATGACATAGCCGTTGATTATGCTCACAGCTGATGATAATCATAGTTCGGATGAAGTATTGAATGTATGTTCATCCACGTCCATGTCGAAAACCAGCCTGGTTTTCACTAATCTTCTCCATTACTCCTAATACTTCTGCGGTGTGAGCTGCTTATAAGTAGTATATGACATGAGTGTCAACGTAATGTCTGGCAGCATAATATGGGGGAAGATCAAGAAAGGAAGAGCTAGAACACAATGGAATTTGTATGAAACGCATGAACAGTGACATTGGATTGATGTTTTGCAGCAGGAACTGATGAACTGATATTTTGCAAATGAACGATTTACGATATGGTTTTCCGATTTTACTGAGTAACTCTGTAATTTCGCTAAATACAATTCGGTTGTCCCACCTGTGTTCTCGTTCACTACACTTCCACTATCTCTACCGCTATGGGATTTGAGTGGCGTCTCTATGCTAATATGAGGTATGGTAACCTGAACTCACCTACTCATCTACGAAGTTCTACGTTGTAACTGAATAAAGTAGTGACTTATCGATTGCGGGTTTTTATAGTTAATCTATTCTGTAAATAATAAAATGTTAACGACAAATCTTTCATTTGGAAGCTAATATTTCTTTAAGCCTACATTTACTAACCAGTTTGCCATCGAATTGACAATAATATTTAACTAATTTTCTTTTATTCCTTTGAATTACATATCTTTTTTTCTCAGAGTATGTTATCGTTTATACACTATAAGCCAGTATCAAGATGAAATGTTGATCACATCTGTTCCCGAAATTCAAAGAACTAATCTGGCCAATGTTGTTCTCTTACTAAAGTCTTTGGGTGTTCAAGATTTGATGCGATTTCATTTCATGGATGCTCCTCCACAGGTATGTCGTCTGCATTTAATAAATTTGAAAATAATTGTTAGGATATTCTCCGACTATCCTACGGAGAATCATTTTGTTAGTGTAAATTCTATTGGTCGATTCCTATTGGTCAATATTATGCTCGTCCTAGATATCAATGTCATGTAATTCAATGTTGTTTCTTATTGGTCGTCCTGATTATCAATCTCACTTCAATTCTTTTTTTCCATTGGTCGCCTTAACTGTCATTGTCACAGACTTCAATGTTGTTTCTTATTCGACCTAAATGTATAAATACGCATTATCTGTAACATTTTATGACCCGGATGCGGATCCTGATCCCCAGTCCAGGATCCTGATTCTTTTCTGAACTCAGACATCGTGCTTTCTTGAAGCTTGTAGAATACAGGTTCTACTTCATGTCAAGTTTTCTTCTTTCATTCATTGGGGTTTGGGACAATCGGATTAGAGTAGCCTGTCGTGTCGCCGGATCCTCGCTCTCATTTTCCGACTAAGGTAAGCTCGTAATAGATCAAGCATTATCAAATGACATGTTTACGTGCATTCGTAACAATAATAAACTTTTCAATCCTGAAATGTTACTGCAATTATTCACAAAAACATATAAAACTTATTTGGTTTCTACTACTAAGACTGTGTGTTGGAATTCAGTCGTTCTGGAATAAACTTATCATCTAGTCTTTCTGATCAACTTAACTACTCAACCTGTTCATTCAGTTCATATCGTAGGTTCGAATTTCTCTCTCCATGTTACATAGTTTCCGTTAGTTGGAGTTGTTAACACTTTACCCATTGAACAAAATACTATGGCTTGAAGTATACTAATCATTTCAAAGTTAACAGTTTTATTCTACCAACAATCGTAAATTAGGTAGGTACATTTTAAAATATTAGAAAAACAGTTCGTAGTCTACAGTATGAGGTCACTAACCCCACATGCCCAACCCTTCTCGTTTATTCGGGCTTGATACTAGGAGTAACCTTAGAAAGGCTCCTGGCCGAGTTTTCTATGAGTTCATGTTATTGCTATTCATTGTTCTTTTTCCATGTGACTAAACTGAGATTTGTTTTTCCCACATTTGTTAGGATAACATATTGAATTCAATGTATCAACTTTGGATTTTCGGTGCACTTGATAATACTGGTAGTTTAACAACTTTAGGTCGTCAAATGGTTGAATTTCCATTGGATCCAGCATTGTCAAAATTATTAATTATTTCCTGTGATATGAATTGTTCCGAAGAGATTTTAACTATTGTATCAATGCTCTCTGTACCAAGTGTATTTTATCGACCAAAAGGTCGTGAAGAAGAATCAGATAATGCAAGAGAAAAATTTCAAGTGCCGGAATCGGATCATTTAACATTATTGAATGTTTTTACTCAATGGCGTAAATCCGGTTATTCATCAGCATTTTGTGCTAAACATTTTTTACATTTGAAAGCTATGCGTAAAATTCGTGAAGTTCGACAACAAATGAAAGAAATCATGGAACAGCATAATATGAATTTACAATCAATTGGTAGTGATTGGGATGTTGTACGTGAATGTTTATGTGCTACATTCTTTCATCAAGCTGCTCGTATCAAGGTAAAAATTTGATTTGATTGGTTTTAGTTGACTTCCGTTTACACCTGTGTTGCTTTGAATCATCAATGAACTGGACATAATTGTGTAAATTCGGTGGTGCCCACAAGGTTTTTAGGTTATTATCTATAAATGAACCATTAACAATTAGAGATTATTGATTAAATACGCTAGATTTCTAATTTGCACTGGGTTCTTGCAGAAAAATCGGACAGATAGTCAGTTAGTTTGCTATCTGACTATTTTGTAAATCCATTAAAATTAACCATATAGATTATAGTATCATATTAGCCACAGGATCAGTAGCTCGTAAATATTGCCATGGAACTTTGTTGATGTACTATGTATTGGGAAGCTAGTTAAAACTAGTAAGCAAGTCATCTGTCCTCGACTGCAGTCTTGTTTTTCAACTACTGATGATATTCTTTCATGAATAAAGTGAACTTCATGTTATCATTCATTGTATGTAATGTAGAGTTCTGGATGAGCTCGATATATTGTACAGATTAATTTTAGATCTTGTCTTTCGGTTAATGTTTTCTACATTCTGAGCTATAGTTTGATAGTAGTCCTTTTATGAAAGTTGCATTATTAAAAAATTGTACATTTTGTAATATACTAGAGTTGAAATTGCATGGATGGCATATGTATAAAATTAAACAAGAGTTTTATGCTGTATATACTTTTTTTGACTCGGTTCATTGACCATGGCTTCATTGTCGTAACTCAGTTGTTTTTCATTTATACAATTTATATATCCGAATCATTCATATTCGTTTCCAACTCAATTCAATATTATTATTATTATTGTTATTATTATCACTATTCAATTTCTTTGTTGACTACTTATTCCCATGATGTGATAGGTTGGGACATGTTTTACGAATGCCCAATCACCGACTGCCTCGACGAGCTATGGCTTTATGGTGTAGGAGTAGATTGGAGGAAAGCTAGGGGCGACCAAACCAAAACATGGTGCAAATCCATGGAATGGTTGGGGTCCGCTAGACGATAGTAGCCGATGGTTAGAGACCTTGAACGACATGGCTCAAAACCGTTTGGAATGGCGCAAGTGCATCCACTCGTTTTGTTCTCTTAAATCCTAACCTTCTGAATTCCTCGTCATCTCTATCTTTCTCTTTCTAAACTTATCTTAGTGAATTATACTTCTTGAGTATATCTTCAAATCCTAATCTTCTCCATTACTGCTAATACTTCTACTACCTCTACCACAATCGGATTTGATTTGACAATTGCATCTCTGTGCTAATGCGGTATGACGACCTGAATTGTTGTACTTACGCACGAATTTCAACGTTGTAACTGACTGAACTTGTGATCAAACATTTGAATGAACTTATCTATCAACTTGTTCTTTGGATTTCGCCTTTTTTAACATCCTAATTAAGATGCTTGATTAAAGCGCTTTACACCGTGTTCAAAATTTCTACAATAAACGTGTCTCATTAGTTTGAGGAGAAATTCTCATTAGAAATGAATCTAAGGCTTAAGTTACTAAAACATTGTAAAATGTGTAAGACTATTTTTTCCCTAGTACTTTTGACTAAATAATATAAGTTGTGACTAGTGAACTTCAAACATGTAGATGGTGAAACAATCGTCACAACTGATATTGGGTAATCATCTTTTTTTTGCATAGCGATTTGACTGAAGCTTAAGTTGTACTACTGGACTCCAATCCAGCGATTCTATCGAATAATCGTTTAGTTGCAAGACTTTAAGATCCTAGTTTCCATCCCTAATATTGTTGTGGGTGCCCCAGAGATGAAGGCTTCCACAATATGACGAAACATCTATCAATGTTCTATGGTTTTATAATGATAATCCAACTGAACTCAATCTTTGCCAATCAAGCAATTATATTGTGGTGCGAGCTACTTATAAGTAGTATATGACGTGAGTGTCAACGTAATATCTGGCAGAAGAAGATGGGGGAAGATCAAGAAAGGAAGAGTTAGAAAACAATGGAATTTGTATGAAACGCATGAATAGTGACAATGGATTGATGTTTTTCAACAGGAACAGTCCAGTTCGATATGATGGACTGACAATTTGCAAATGAACGATTTACGATATGGTTTTCCGATTTTACTGAGTAACTTTGTAATTTTCGTCAAATACAATTCGGTTGCCCCACCTGTGTTCTCGTTCACTACAATATTATTATAATCACTCACAATATATATGATTTGATGAATTTTGCTTACTACTACTAACATGGCAATAATTTCCAGTAGTTTTCTGAATATATACTTTTTTTTTCTTGTAAACCAAAATAAATTTCTCAGGGTTTAGGTGAATATGTAAATCTACGAACTGGTATGCCATGTCATCTACATCCAACTAGTGCTCTTTATGGAATGGGTTACACGCCAGACTATGTTATTTATCATGAATTAATTATGACAACAAAAGAATACATGCAATGTGTTACATCTGTAGATGGCAATTGGTTAGCTAAAGTTGGTCCAATGTTTTACAGGTAGATGATGAATTCGGCATTTCGTAATATTTTGTTTTGTTTTTCCTGTCTATTATGTGTGTGAGGTTAAAATCCTATTTTTTTAGCATGAAAAGTTTTATGATCATTGTTGAGTTTTACAATCATCATCATGGATTAACTGACCTTAGCTATGTAACATGTAAAAAGCAAGACACACACTGGACAATTGTTTTTGTCCTTGTACACAGGGCTTTTCAGCAGGACATAATACCTACAACCTTACTAGGAATCGAAATATCTGTCCAGTGCTTCGTTATCCTCAAATGTTATTTAACCAAATTCAGTCCTTACTATAAAGTCACATTTTATTGTGTGTAGTGTAAAATGATTGGAAGCTTACAAATAGAATAAATGTCAAGATGACATAAACACAACTATTCTTTGTTGC